GAGAAAGAGAGTGAGCGAAAACTTCAGAACGTTCTAGAGTTGCCATAAGTGCGAGCGCAGGTATATAAGGGCGCCGCCACAGCGAAGTTAGTTAGTTACAAGTCAGCAAGCTACAAGTAAAGTGAGTTGCGAATAAGCAAGCTATGAGTTTAATTGTATTAACAAGTTTTGTAAAGCGTTGTAATTGCTTTAACGAGTATTGTAAAATGTTTTTACGGTATTAGCGAGTATTGTAAATTGTTTGTTGTACAATAAAGTTAATTGTACTACACTTAGGTCATCGTGAGCATTTATTTAACAATCCAGCAATACGAACCGTAGGATATTTGGGAAATCCCACAAGGTTTCAAGGATAATCGTAACAATATATTTACTAACCATCATAAAATTAGGGCCATTTTGGGATTTTTAACTTTTTCATATTTTCTTCCCCAACTGGTGAAATAAAATTTACTGAGCTATAACTTTACATTACATAAAAAAATTGTTCATTTAATAAAGATTTCAGAAAGGTGCCACTCTTACTGTTTCGAATATAAAAAAAAGTTATATCCGCTTTTGTGGGCAGAGGACTGAGACACGCTAGAATGTATTTAATAGGTTTAAATTTAAGTTGCTCTTGTTACCGACTAATGACATGCTAAATAGTACCTGCTTCTGACATTATTTTATGTTACTTACCGGAATTCGGACCAGAGTCTATAACAAGGGCTATATCTATCACTTTTTTTTTTTTGAAGGGTGGGTTTACGTGAAATAAGATATACATGAGTTGTTTGAAGAAAAATTTATTCATTTATTGATAAAATATGCTCAAATTGGCGACCTTCTACTCTAATACAAGCCCGGAACCTTTTAAGAAAATACGCTTTTAGAGATCTTAAACTCAATTGGGCTATCTTAGCAGCAGCTCCATTTATTTCTTCCCGCAAATGCTCTTCGCTTTGAATTGTTTTTGAATAAATTTTGGCCACGTGATTGGCCCGTATCGTCCAATCCATCGGCGAGGATAAGTTTCGTCTAAATAAGCTCATTTTGCAGCAATAGTCTTCGCCGCAGGTTTAAGGGTACATCTGCTAAAAGAGTTGAAAGCCGTTCCTGAAGGAACTCTAAATAACTGTGAGAGTTGAGCGTTGGCGGCAGTTCCACAGGTCCCAATATCTGACAATTAAAAATACCGCACCATAAATTTATTTTGTACCGGTACTGCGAACGATATTTCTTCATTTCGTGAGGATTGTCTATCTGCCAACTGTGACGGTTATGTAAATTAAAATAACCATCACGTTTGCATGATGATTCATCGCTCCAAATTATTTTATTAAAAAAGTTGGGGTCTGATTCATGCATTCGCAACATTTCACGGCAAAATCTAACCCTCGACAGGTAATCTCTTTCTTGTAGAGCATGAACACGTTGAATGTGGTAGGGATGAAATCGATGGTCTTTTAGAGCTTTGTGAACTGTAGTTTTTGGTATTCCCATCCGTCTTTCCATCATTCTACCTGAAGTCGATGGACCTAGTTCCACTTCCTCTAACACAACTTCAACATCTACCGTTGCAGGACGTCCNAAGCAAACAAGAAAGGTGTAAAAATCACTTACCTTCATATATTTCTCTATGGGTCCGGGCGAATATTTCACGACCCGGATGCCGACGATTGGGGTATCGCTCTGCATAGAGTCTTTGAGCAGCTCTGGCATTACAGCAAGCTTCACCGTAAATTAGGTGAATATCCGCATATTCATACTGCGTGTTCTCTGTCATAGTATTAATAACACAATGTTCGAAGGGTCCAATTTCACAAAATCCACTTTCACTAATTCCGGTAAGTAACATAAAATAATGTCAGGAGCAGATAATAATGTACCTTTGTACTATTTAGCATATCATTGGTCGGTAACAAGAGCAACTTAAATTTAAATCTATTAAATACATTCTAGCGTGTCTCAGTCACGATTTTTTTTAAATTCAAAAAAATGTAAATATTTAAAAACGGTAACACTTTTACCTGCAATTTTTTGTTTGTCAGTGAGTTACTTTTAATGTACATTTGACAACAAAAAACTATCTATGGTCAAAATAGGTACAATTTGAAATTTCGATTTTCCATCCCTGGTAAACACGCCGATATTCTGGTTTTTCAACGCGAAATGGCCTTGAAATATGATCACAATGTGGATGTCGGACAATTAAGCGGGTTTTATTTTGAAAAAATATAATATGGGCTACAAACAGAGGAGTGTAAATTAAAATTAATCAAAATGTTAAAAGAACTTTTAAAATATGGGAATCAATCGAAATGTGTTTAATAAGGCTTTATTTTTGTTGTAATTTGAAGGAAAAAACCAATTCAACTAAAATCATCGGGTAATTGAATTATATATCACAATGTCAGACGAAGGAGGTTAAAGAAATTTTACTTTAAAAATATTTTTGAAAAAAAATACATGAAAAGGCACGATTTTTTTTTTATTCAAAAAAATTTTAATATTTCAAAAACGATGACACTTTTACCTGAAAAATTTTTGCTTATCAGGGAGCTCAAATGAACTGTCGAGCAATCAACTGTTTTGAGAATTTCTGCCTGAAAAGTGTTTCATGAGACTTATGATCTGAGTTGCTCTAACTTGCTCTATTTTATTTTTTTTTTGAAAGCTGCTCTATTCTGCTCTAACTTGAGCTGCTCTACACTTTTTTCGGTTTCATTAAACACCACTATTATTGCATCATGCGTTGTGCCGTCAATTTGATTGGCGAGCAGTATATCCCGTTATTCATTGCACAGTTTGAATCGCGAGAGTTCATGGCGCGCGTTCGGCCGGTATTGAACCGCATTATGCAATATAAAGACGAGGCCGCATCCGGCGCTCGGGGGCGATCTCTTCGAAGAACGTTGAACTCGTCCTGACTTTGAAGACTTAAGCTTGCATTGCCGCAACAAAGATTTTTTGTTGCCCCTTATGAAACTGACCTCAGCGATCTTACCCTGAAGCACGGTGCACCTGAACTGCAAGAGTTCTATTGAGTTGGTCTCGTGACTGTTAGATTAGATAACATTTGTTAGAGGCTGTGCACTGTGACCTTAGGTCTATAGTGCGTTCAGAGCTCATCATAACACATCGTTCAGGCCTAGTGCTGTGATAAATCCAAACAGTTTCGAGGGTACTAGTATGCCAAGCCTCCGGCCGCAGGTGTGTTAGCGTTCTTCTCGCAACCGCACCGCATTCTAAGAGGGAATGTCCTTCGGTTTCTGGTGCCATACTTACACTTATCCCCAGGGTATGCATACGGGCCCGCAGTCTGGAGTAACCCGTCAGCGTCCCTGTTATAATTCTCAGGTTAGTCTTTTGATGGGTCAATATTTGCCTAGATCTTTTGGTCTTCCAAGGAGTTCTTTCCTCTACCTTAGTCCAGGCGTGTTCTCCGAATGCACTCTTCTTAGCCGACTTCGTCTGCTTCTAACTCTTCCCTGATGCTGTAAAGCCCCAATGTAAGGAAGGGTTCAGGTCCTATAGGTTCAGTGGCTGCTGCCTCTTTCGCTATTATTTTAGCCTCCTCGTTTCCCTGTATGCCTTTGTGGCCTGTGACCCACAGTGACTGTTACGCAGGGATGTGGGAGTACCGGCGCGCTGCCTGATCTGCTTGCGGTGCTGGTTGCGTAGCTGATGCTCCTTCCGTTGCTGTTATCTCCGGTGTTTGCATCGGTGTCGGTGTGACCGTTAGACGGCGGTTGTTGGGCTACCGCTAGCTTTGACGTTGCTGCCGGCGTTGCCACGACAAACTCTTGGGGAACTTGTATGCTGTTACAACAACAACAACAACAACGTTGCTGTCGGGTTAATCGTTCTTGGTCGGAGTTGGTGCTCCGCTCAAACCGGTAAGCGTAGAACCAACTATCTTGCGAACCACTATAAGTTAGTTCATTGTTTACTATCGGCATGCTACGTAAAATGCGACAAAAATAAATGTACCGAGAAATCCTGGCTCAAAAATTCAATAATGGCCACATGTAATGATATCGGGTAGTTCTTGGAATAAATTGGCTGCTGAGTAAAAATTACTGACTAAAAATAAAAATAATACCATCGTCTTAATAACCTCTTTAGAAATTAAAGCTTAGACATGTACATACATGTGTATGTTTATGCTTTAATTTATACTTTAATCATCAGTAGCAATTTGAAAGCACAAATTCACTTAGGCAAAATAATATGCGCTTTGTGTTAGGAGTAAGACTACAACAAAATAAATACATTTATGTTATAAAGACTACATGTTCTTACAGGCTAAATATTCAGTTCATCGGCTTTTAGTTTTGAAGGCAATAAAATTATGCATGCCAAATTTAGTTTTTTTATTTACCCCAAAGAAATTAGTTAAACAAATATGTATTGTGGAAGGATATGAGTATAAGGACAGACCTTGGCTGCAATGCATTTTATGCAATTAGCTTGGAGGTAAAAATTTTAAATAGCAAATCACGGTAAGAACGCGTTTTTTTAAACCCATAAATATGTACGTAATCAAAAAAATAATCTCTCGAAATAAGACCCGATTTAAGTTAGTTATTTTTTAAACGCCGTTTGAACATGAAATTATTGTTAATTGCATTGCTTAAAATACTCCATCACAACACAGCATGTATCCTGTATGAACTAACCCCATTAAGAAATGCGTTTTGTGGCACTTAATTTACATATTTAATTGCGGCATTAAGTTATGTATTAGCAGAAAAATTATAAACTAAATTTACTTTGCTTCGCAATGTACAATTCTAATTGGCTTGTCCACACATATGTAGTTATGTAGTAATAAATCAAATATTCATGATTTGTCTCAATTTATTTCATTTTTGTAAATTTTCTTGCAAACTGATTGCTAACTTTAATTGCATTAAGATATTTTTTTTAACTTACATTTGATTGCTAGTGAGCAGAAAAGCCACAATGCATGTTATGTATTGCATTACATTGGCAAGGGATTTTTTTTTTTTTTTAATATTTAATTTTTGTAAAATACATTAGTGGTATTCTCTGAGTTTTGCAAAGCTCTTGCACGGCGCACAGATTGCACGGTAAAAATCAGTTTTCGTATGGGACAGCTTTGCAAACCGTGCAAGCGCTTTGGAAGATTCAGAGAATACTCCTATCGCAAATTTGTTGGTCTTTTTTTATTTAATATTAAAATCCAAATTTGCTCGATTTTTTATTGATAAATTATTTTAAATCTAATGTTTATTTGATTTGTTGTCAGTTTAAAATAGTGTATGTGATGGCCTTTACAAATGTTGCCTCTTTATTGCCTTAGTATTTTTGTGAAGATGGCAATAAGAAAGTAACCTTTGTCTGTAGATTATTTAAAATCAAGCCAAAAATGGATAATAAAATTTATTAAATAATATTTAACTATTCAGCTAAACAAAATCGGCGAGCCTTTTGACATAAAGGTAATTTCCAGCTATATTCAAGACATAAGATTTTCGTGTTTTGTTAAAGATTTTTTCCTTATTATTTAAGATCCACCACTGAACCATCAAATCTACAACTCTCCATTCCATAGTCACGACCATGTTATAAGATAATTATGCCTTAGTAACTGTTTGATTTAATGAAAGAAATTTACAGATCTGAACTGCTTTTCAATTATTATGCGCTCCATTAACTACTAATTTTAGTCTATAGCCTTTATATCCATACATAAATGAATATGTACTTTAATTTGATGTATGCATATAATAGCATAAGTGTGCTCAAAAACGCAAATTTATTGAAAAACTTAGTAATGCAAACTGGTACAATAACTTTCTAAATGATTGCAATTTTATTGTTTTTTTTTTTTCTTTATAGATAAACGAAATGGCGCTTCTCTGAGTACAATTTTTTGTGTTAGTATGTATTTTTTTTCGTCAAAATTTTATGTAATATTAGGGTAGCGATCACGGCATGTTACTTTTATCGTTGATTTATTTGTTAATTGTTTAGATAATGCCCCTACAAGCAATGATTATATTACTGCATGAAGGTATGTTTTTGTTTGTTCATATTTGAGTTTACTAATCTCTTCCGTAGCAAGGATGTGAGGGTTGCAATTGCGCATCCACATCCATATTGCTTGTTGATGGCTGAATGCTTACACGAGAATCAATCTCTGAATCGTCCTCTGTGGTACGTGTCTGTTCTTCAGCCAAGGCTTTTTCTTTCTTAGTTTTCTTTTCTGTATTTTCACTCTCTGGTTCAATTCTTTCCTCGTTAGATTTTTCAACAGAAATAGCCGATTTAACATCTTCACTGGTAGATGAAATATCGTGCTCGTCGTCCTCATCATCCAGCTCTTCTTCAATTAGTTTACGCGCTAGTCTAACGGCTTCGAATTCATTGTAATGCGCCTTACGGCGGCGTTCGAATTCAAGCCGACGAACTGTAAGTAAATGAATGGAATTAATAAAAAACGTAATTTACTGATATATGTAAATACATATGATTAACTAATAGAAGCATTTTAGAATAAAAAGAAATTTTATCACTCCTACCACTAACTAACGAGACCAACAGGCCCCGTTCCCACGACAGTCGGGTCTACGTAACCGGAACGACCCAGATTTATATCTGGCCAAGGACTGTCACTCCAGCAACACTCCCCAAAAAGTCTTTGGGGAATTTGTATGCTGCTAGAACAATAACATCAGGGAATTATCTTTGTAGTTCGAATCGGATAGTAAATTTGTTCCAATTCGACCTATTGGTACTATAAAAGAATTAGGCGTTCGACTAGACCTTATTTTCGATTCGAGATACAGAGTAAGGGCCAAGATCTGGGTGTCAACTCTGTATTGAATCCCAATGATTTGCTTTTCGAATGAACTAGTAAAGTGTAGGAGCTCAAAGTTCAACATAATCGACTAGACAATTTTTTTTGTTTGTTTTGCAACCCATGCCATTTTTAGTACCTTTTTCTTCAGGTGTTTCATCAATGTTTTCTTCATCAGAAAGCTCCTCAGAACCAAATGAAGGCGATTGTGTGCTTGCTGCGATACGTAATCTGTAATCAATAAAGTTAAATTTAAAGCGTTTTATATTTTTCCGAAACGTTGATTTATACTTTTCTGCTAGTAAATTTGCGTCCAAAGTATCTGTGTGCGCTATATCTGGAATAACGTAGTTGTATGGCGTTTTTGGCTCATCAATTTTCATATGACCATAATCCTTATCAAGTGGATGGTAGGTTTGCAACACATTCAGTTCATCAAATTTCGCACTTTTGCGGTAACTGCAGTGAAAAAGAAGCAACGAGAATGAAATGCAAAAGGCGCATTAGAGTGTATTACAAATTAATAGGATTATCTGATTGGATAATGACGTTGTCATTGACATTTACTCACCTGGCGGCGCCAGGCTTATCAAAACTGCTAGAATTCTTCAATATACCCTTACAAGGCTTCTTGGCATCGGGCGAGTCCTGCATTTTGCTGATGTCGTTGGCTGGTTTTAATTCGTAGTCTATATGTATGAGAACTATCTATGTTGTTAAGATAGATTTTTTTTAGTAGAATATTTATTTCTTTTTTATTTCGATTCAATTCTTCAATTCTTCGGGTGTCGTACTAATCCTTAATGGAGGCCGTTTATACTGAAGCTAAAAATAAACTGCAAAATCAAATTAATTGCAAAATTGCTTTGACTATGTTATCTATGCATTATGGTTGTGAATGAACAGGTGGGGTAGAGAGAGCGATAAGTGTATATTGCGGAACGTAGGTATGTGAAATGTTTGCAAACAAATTGATGTGTTACATGAAATGACGTGATTCATTAACAAATGTCACATTTTCTTTCACGCTTTGATCATGCTAAATATTTGATGATTTCATACAAAATATATTTAATTAATAGTTTTTTGACAAAGTACAAATCAACTTTCAAAATATCCTGCGCAAAGGTCTTGGGTAGGTAGTTAGCCTACTTCGTCAGCAGCCACGCCAGCTACACTGCTTTTCGTTAATATCAGGAACTTATATTTTTAATTTGTAACCTTTTACATACTTAAGTATGTACATATATTGTTCATGACTAAGCATATTTTTTTAATACTTTTAATTTTACTTTAAGACTCCCTTGAGTATAAAGTTCCCCGTTTCGAGACGATGGTTTGTCTAAAATCCGCTCCACCCTACCGTCTTGCGGCTTAATTTTCAGTCCTTTGTTGACTCCTTTGTCAATTTAGAGTAATCCCTTGATTCTTATGCTTTATTAGCAGTCACATAAGCGATTTTTGTTCTAACTTCACTTGAAAAATTTCACAAATATACATATTGTAGTTTTCGCAAAACAAAAAAATATATAAATTTCCACACCTATGAACTTATTCGATTACGGAAGAACTTTCAGCGATTGCCTTTCTTTTGACAGTTGCATTTTTTTCACTAAACAAAACACAAAATAAGTGGTGCCATATTTGGACAGGGCGATTAAGGTGAGAAAATTGTTTTTTAGAACGATTCATTTTTATTATTGCAATCGATAGTTCGTCGATTGTTCTTTAGTATGGGTTTATATCCGGAAACATTTGTCGATGCGACTTCCTTATTCCCTTTCACCCAACCGACGGTAGCACCCCATTTGTGAAAATATTAAGATTTTTTGTATTGCAATCGATAGTTCGTCGATTGTTCTTTAACGTTCGTCAATTTTTGACGCTTGTTCGTTATCCAAAAATTTATAATTAACTTTTCAATTTTCACTTTACGTAATACCTGAAGTTAGCACGCGCAACAGATCATTTTGCGTTAGTTGTTATTGCAATCGATAGTTCGTCGTTTGTTCTTCATTGTTCGTCCATTGTTAACGTTTGTTCCAAAGTCAAACATTTATAATTCATTTTTTACATTTTACAGTTCCTGCCTTTAGTAACCCAAATGTAAGAATTTCATTATTTTCATTTGTAAACTGTGATAAATCGTTTGTTCGTCGTTGGTTCGTCGTTTTCCCATCCCTAAAATTGAGCAAAAGCCGTTAATAAATTCATCATTTTTACTTTACGTTAAACATTACGTAAATGTTTAAAGAGTAGTTGGAATTGGGTCCGATGAGATAAAACAAAAGTAGGCGTGGACCGCCCTCTTTTCCTGATTTTAACGGCATATTTTTTTTGTGTGCAAATTATCAGGGGTTGCGCTAACATTTTTAAAAGCTTATATTTCGAAAACTATTGAACCGATTTATGATGACTATGGACACAGTTGGAAAAGTGATTGAAGGACCTTTCATTCGATATATATTTATGTATATAATGTATACATATTTTGAGAAAAAGTACAAAAACCTAATTATGGCAATTTTTTTATAAAAATGTATATTTTTCGTAAAAAAAATACGTTCCTAACTATGTTAACAAGTATGATTATCAGAAAGAGCGCAAAAATATCTTTAATTTGATGTATGACTTGTAACAAAAAATTCTTCTGTACATTATATTTGTTTAAATATTTTTTAAAATATCGTTTTATATGAAAAACAAAAAGCGCCGCAGGCAACAGTTTGGAATAAAAAATCCCGCGATGTTTTATTCCAAACTTTCATAAGCTGTATAGTAAACTATCCTTTATTATAAAAACTTAAAAAACGCCGCAGGTGTATATTAAAGTATGCTTTTATAAAAAAAGGAAAAAAACACCGCAGTAGAAAAATTGGAATAAAAAATCGGAACAACGTCGTCTTCGTATAACTTATGTAAACTTTGAAACTTTTTTAAAGTATGCGGGAATCTTTACAATCCTTTTAAACTGCAAAATGTTGACGAAAATGATGATGATAATTAATATGATGAATTTATTAACGGCTTTTGCTCGATTTTAGGTATGAGAAAACGACGAACTAACGACGAACAAACGATTTATCACAGTTAACAAATGAAAATAATGAAATTCTAACATTCTAATTATAAATGTTCGGCGTAGGGACAAACATTAAAAATGGACGAACAATGAAGAACCAACGACGAACTATCGATTGCAATAATAATTAACTCAAAATAATCTGTTGCGGGTGCTAACTTCAGGAATTACGTAAAGTAAAAATTTAAAAATTAATTATAAATTGTTGGCTAACGAACAAACGTTAAACGAACTATCGATTGCAATACAAAAATCTTAGTATTTTCACAAACGGGGTGCTAACGTCGGTTGGGTTGAACGCAATGGTGCCACGCCGCGCAGTGTTACCCATGACTAATAGTGACTTCGTTTAGAAGACTTGGCACCACTGATAAAACAATTGTCACAAAAACGAACAGTACTACTTTATGTATCAAATGTCAAATCCGGGGCTTTTGTGTTGTATTTGCGAATTTTTCCATAGTATGTGCAATTTGAGTTACAAATTTAGAGTTATTTGGTTTTAGTTTCGGTGAAAAGTATAGTGCGTCGTTTTTTCAACTCTAATATTTGAAGGTGATATTGGGAAACACATGTATTTTGCAAAAAAATAATTCGGATCACCAATATTACTGCGGTTTGTATTTGTTTGCTACCACCATCGTGCGAAAATGAAATTTTTCCATGATTGATCGGTTGTCTGGTTACGCCGGAATATTCATAACATTTAATATTTGTGTAGTTACAACCCGTTTCACGTTGCTTAATGGTTGACGAATAATACAAGAAACTATCAATAACTGCGCGTAAAGGTGAAGCTCGGGTATATAAATATGTATATATATTTGCATTAGCGAAATTCTCCCGAGTTTTCAATGAAATTGAAAAAGCGAACGAATATCTGCATTTATATGTTATGAGTGATTATATATGTATTTGCAAAGGAGCTGGCGGCTAAATATGCCAAGTGCCAAACGACCGCCGTTTTCATTCTTTTGTAAATACCGTCGTTATATACTGTGCCGTTGTTGTCGTGGTCGTCTTTTATTATTGTCGCTTATTATTTTTCATTTATTTTTCTGTCTTTGTATAGGGAAGCCTCAGTCAGCTTTGCGGTCTGGCCTGGCGCAGAAGTGCCTTATTAAAGTTTAATCATAATAACTTTGATTACTCGAGCATTTATTTCGTGTGTTTTTTGTGTAAACGCTAAGTTGGGTTGTGGAGGATGTAGTCGGCGTTTGGAAAAAGAAAACAAAAATGTGGAGTGATAGATACCAAGACTCGGAGTGTACATTTACATTAAGATGTTTAAAAATTATAAATACAATTACGGTAAATTTATAATTGTATTGCAGTTTCTAAAAAAAAGTACTATAAGTACTGTACTTTTTTATGTAGATATTGTGTATACGTTTTTAAAGTGAAAATATTTCAAATTCACTATTTAAAATACAACATGGTTCATGTGCATATTCTTTTCAGATTAAACAATCCCTCAATATGTCCGTAGTTAAAAAGAAACCCGTAAACATAATTTCAAATCAAATTTGAGCAATACATTTTGTGCGATTGTAAGAAACCGTTAAAATAATTACAAATTTAATTGGATGGTTATACCTAAATAAGATTTGCAAGTGATATGAAAATAAATTGCGGTCGAAATTCCGTTTCATTCACCAAAAAGCAAATTAATATTTGGATATACATACATACATACACTACATTGCATCAGATAAATAAGTGGAAAGTGTAATATCTGCAAAGTTTGTCGTATTACATTATGGCCTTGTTGAATAAACTATTTTTCCCAACGGCTAGTACATCGTCCCTGTCTTCGGTAGCATCATTGCCAACAACTACAACAACATCTGCTCCAGCATCAACGGGAGTGCGAGAAGTAATTTCGGGACAAGGAATTTCCGCAGTAAAAACTCTAGATCAAGTACTCTCACGAACACCCGATGCAATTAGTAGTGGAGTGGCAGCAATAACCGGCCGTCTCCCGAAAAATAACCAACCGGTGCAATCAAAAAATTATTTAAGGTACGTAAATTAAAGAAAAATACTTCAAAGTTAAATAAGCAACTGTTTTATTTAGAAAAAATAGCAAATATGTATTTAATATCGAAACATTCTACTATCGAGTGTAGGTGCATACATACATATCGTCGTTTAAAGTACAAAACCGCGTATGTGAGGTTGCACAAATTATTTTCTAGAGAGAAAAAATACTCACATTTCAAAATGGTTCTCTTTTTTATGAATTAATCGCATTTGTAGCTAATATATTTCAGGACGAATAGATAAGGCTTGAGCTAAGAGCTTGTGTGAGCAAATCCACTTTTTGGCAAAAAATTTCGGTTACGCGGTTTTGCAGAAGGACGATACGCGGTTTTGTACTTTAAACGACGATATGCATGTACGTAGGTATATATACATGTACATACATACATATACCATTTGTTTAAGCACATTTGTATGTGCATATTTACATCAGTGTTGCCACATAATTTTTTTAATTTTTTACTAAAATCACCGGAAAAAGTGACCAAGTATAACATAAAATTACCGAACTTATTTTATGTGCACAACTGTACAAACATAATATCGAGCCCTGAAAAATTATGTAAGCGACATTTTTTTCAATATTTTCTTTTTGATGCAGAAATATTCGTAAAAACATTGTAAAGATTTTTTGAAAAAAATGTCGCTTACATTATTTTGGCAGTTAGGGCTCGATATGTCTGTACATACATATGTATATCCGAATATTCCAAGCTTTTCAGGCAATCAGCGCTACATTCACCTACAATTTTTACGAAAGTTTGCTGATTTTTTTTTTAATATTGAACCAAGTTTGAAGTTTGAATGTATACGAGTTCTGTTAAATAAAAATAAATAAAAAATAATGTTTTTATAAAAATTAAATCACAAAAAAAAAACGTTACAACGTGTCAAACTATGGCGCGGCTATAATTTTTTCGACCATTTATGTAAACAAGTGAAAAAATGCCCAGAAGATAATTTCAGAGTTAAAAGCTCTTCCGAAAGGCCTCCTGAGAGTCAACAGGCCTTCCACTCTACACTCCACTCCTTTCTTTTTTGTATGGAGTGGCACCAGGGCTTCTTCTTTTATAGGACGTACCTCAGAAGGCCTTTTTTAGGAGTTCTTTTAAAGTCGCTTCTTTAATTTATAAAAATTATACACCCTTAAGGTATTTGCTTAAATATACATAGCGAAAGCCACTTTCAAGCAGTTTGTTATAGAACACACCCTTCTAAATAGTAACCAAGGAACGCTGGAACAACTTCCGCCTTGCGAAACTTTCAGACATTTCTATAAAAGGAAACGCTTACGGGCCACTTACTAATGTGGAATCAAAACTTATATTGACCTATTTGATATGTAGCACCAAATCGAAAAAGTTACCAATTTGAAAAATAAATTACCAAATTACCTAACTTGATAAATAAAGAAAAAAATTACCAATTTTGGTTAAAAATACCAAAGCGGCAACGCTGATGTACATACATTTATACGTACATATGTGTTACTGTAATGGTTTTGTTTTCCTTTGCATTCTCCTTGTTTGTTTCGTATGTCGAGTCGCGTGATCGCACGTCACCATACCGCGCCCGCTTCTGTCATGGTTTCTCTTAAGCGAAACCAACAGTTAAAAAAAATAAAAACGACAATACAGTCAAACTTCTTTATATTTAACTCTTTTTTTTTTAATATAATGCTAACCACCGTAATAAGATATCTTATTATGCGATACCAGGGATGGTGAACAATTATTAGTTTTAAAATTTTAACCTAAAAATCAACAAGTTTTAATCGTCGTAAAATTATTTTAACTACACTCACATATTTGTGATCCTACGTTCCACTGTAATTTTCAATCATTTTAAATTTTCGAGTTTAACCAATAAAGATTAAAAATAGCAGATATTATTTGAGTTTTTTTTTTTTGCTCAAAGGAAATTATTATTGGGCCATTCCATTGTGACTGGTAGGACATTTTACTTCAGGATGAGATCAATTGTGAATTTTACCTATGTCGTCGGATCTTATACAACAGCGAAAGATATTTTTTAACCTAGAACGAAGGCTAATGCATAAAATTGCTTTAATAAAAATAATAAACGATTTCGTAGTTTTATGTAACTATCATTTGAATGAATGTGACTGGTGGGATACTGAAAAGAATTCTATTTTTAACCGACTTCCAAAAAAGGAGGAGGTTATCAGTTCGTCGGAATATTTTTTTTTTTTTTTTTTTATGTATGCTACCGCATAACTTTGGACCACGTCAACCGATTTCGATAATTATTTTTGCATCGGAAAGGTAGTGTCTCAGAGGTGGTCCCATACTAATCTGGTTAAGATCCGATCAGCGGATCATGAGATATATATATATATATATATATTTTTTTTATATGGGAGTTGAAGTCGGTTTTTTTTCTAAAAATTACTAGTATCCTGGTGCACTCAAAGACGAACTTTAGCCAAAACACCTACTTAATCTTCACGAACGATGTTTTTGTGTTGAAAAATATGAATTATACGCTTTCCTTTTCAATAAAAATAAAGTTTATAATAATCTTCATAGAAATATTAAAAAAATATGTAACTTTGTGACTGGTTGGACATCTCCTTGTGACTGGTGTAAAGTAATTATGCATGACATAAAAGTCTCCATAGACAAAAATTACCACTTCTTTTCATTTTATTTTTTTTAATACCTTTCAGCATATTAATAAAATATAGTAATTAAAAAGAGGTTACTACTGAAATAGAAATAATTGGGGCATATTTAAATATACATATGTCGTTTTCCTCTTTTCAATGTAATGACCCTATTATTAGATAATTATTATTATTGAGTTTTATCTTTGCACTTAAGAATAATGATTATTCAAAAATCTCGAAAGCTATACCAGCGTGATTTCCGGCCTATCCTTTTCAGAGGTAGCGACACCCTAATGAAGGGAATTTACAGGTAAAAACGTCTGTATGGCCTTTTCAATTTTATATCGTTTATATTTTATATCATATAATCATTATTTTTAAGTGGAAAAAAAACTAAATATTAATTATCTCTGAGCGAAAAAGTAAAAATCATAAAATAATCATTATTTATGATCGAAAAAATAACAAGTAATTTTTAGCAAAAAATAAAACCCAAACAAACAAACAATTCCCATATAAAAAATATACATATATATATGGGATATTTCACCTCAAGTGACCCAACTTTTGAAATCGATGTCTTTCGATCGGCATGGAATTTGCACCAAGGTTAGTCCTAATAAATAGTAGTTATGACACAAAATTTCAACGGGATCGGTCAAACACACTCCGAGTTGGATGTTACTTTTTACCTATTGTATTTAGAAAATTTTTTTCGGGAATGTTTCCCTTCAGTCTTTACAAATATTATTTTTTTAGTTAAAATAAGTTTTTTTGATTTTTTTTAATAAAAAATTGTTTTTATGTTTTTTTTTTCAAAAAGGGGTATTTTATGTTTTTTTTTTGCTCAAAATAAAGCTTAGGTATTTTTCTTTAAGAGCTTTGTTCCAAGCTTTGTTGGAAATAAAGCAAAACTTAGATTTTAGTATTATTTCCCATTTAAAAGTGAAATAAAGCAAATTTTACGTTATTGCCGTTTGTGTTATTTCAGCGCTACCGCTATTAGAAATAACTTTTTCTTTTTTTAATGCTAGTCGGAACTGCTAACTACTACACCACATCTTCCGCTGTCATGAAAATTTTAAACTTTTTAATCACAATTTTTCGGGTATGCAGTTTTGTAGCCCATTCAATTGTAGTCTAATAAAGTGCAAGTTTCAAGTCGCTCAAAATTACGGTTGGTTTTTTAGATTTTTTTTTTTGTGGAGGGCATTGCGCATTTTCTTCATTATAAAAATAGATTTTGATCGTGCACCATCCACAAAACAAAAATTCTAAAATATCAATAGTTCTTTCTACCGACTTAAAGCACTTTCTTAAACTTAAATTAAAAGGGTTACAAAACTGCATACCCGAAAAATTCTGAATAAAAAGTTTGAAAATTTGATGACAACTTTTTGAAGTTTGATTACTTTTTGTAAAATTTGTGTAAGCTTATAAACTTTTATGTAACAGGTGTGAGCTAATTGTCCAATAAGATTTTCTTACTGGAAACTAAACTTTGTCTAAAAATTACCTGTCGTGAATTATCGTTTTGACGAACATATATACATATATAAGCAATCCTGTGGTCTTTTGGTTAGCTATTGAAATAGACGCAGTTTACATTTTAAAGTGGTGTGCGATAAGTTTGCAAATATTTTGACGCGAATCGAATAAAAATTGGAAACCAAACGCGTTCGACAAAAAATGTTCGCAAAACATGATGAAAGTTTTGAGCATTTTAGAACGTGAAAAAATCTATTTATTTTACTCTCAAGGACTATTTTTCAACCGAAAGATAGCAGAAAAGATATATCGCAGCTCCAGATGTGTTGACAGATATTTAAAGTATCCTAAATCATATGGGAACCGGTCTAAAGGAAGAAATATTGAAGTTTCAAGCATTTCTGAAATTTACCATTATATGAAAAACGGCCGTAATCAAGGCGTATTCAATAAGGTGGTATCGGTACGCCAACAACAAAATGTACATGTATTTTGTTTTTGCTTTTGCGGTGAAGACTGTCAAAAATTTCATAGGAATGATGTGAAAGAGAACAAAAAACAATAAACAATCAACTGATCCAACCAATCAACAGCAGCCATTTGACATATGAAGCCGTGAGTCGAAGAAAAATAAAAGGGTGCTGCTATCACCTGTTAAATACGCCTTGGCCGTAATTTTAGTCCGACTTAAATAATTTTCAACGTTTTGCTTTTATGTGGCAAGCACAATATCCATACCGAGTTTGGTACAAATTGGTATAACGTTTACCGAGATACAAATATGTGATCATAAGTGGGCGGTGCCACGCCCACTTTCCAAAATTTTTTCATAATCGTATTTCTTGGTAAAGAATTGTTGCAA